GCAGCTGTACTTGAAATAAAAATGTACTGTTTTGAAATACGCTATTATTTTTATTTTTATTATTACTTAAATAGCCACTTTTCTATAACTTCCTACTAGGGAAAATATAATTAAACAAGCTGTAATGAAAGAGCCTCTCTCACTGGGATGCCATTTTAATGTCCAACATATACCACCATTGTTTTCCTAGATACTCTAATTAAATGTGCTTGTTTATAATCCTTCATAGACAATGTGGTTCCAAACCCTACCCTAATTATTCATCACCATATTTCTTGSTTCCAAATATTTTCAAGTTATCATCACTTGTTCTTTGTAGCCACTACTTCCCTAAGCTGGAATTCAAGTTTTTATATGGCAATGTAAGTGTGGGAGGTATTTGTTGAACTGCAATGTATTAAGACCAAATTTACAGCAAGCCATTAACTTACTGTTTGTACATGTTATAAAAAAATACAATCTATAAATGGTAAATTCTGAAGCATACAAAACTAATTTTTATGCAACTAGCACTTTCAATTTACAGGTAATTTAGCTATATATCCAATACATAGGAACATAAGCCATATGCTCTCTAAACAACACAATAAACATTAGACTATGCAAAATTTCTGTCACTTCAATTTTAGCTGAAAGGCTAAAAATCTGTTCTGGGATTCCAAGTCAACTTCACCTGTGTCCTGAGCACAGCAGCACCTTTTGGATCCAATATAAACATGAGAGGATCTGCTCTCACCACACTTTTTTCCAGTGATTAATATAGTTCAGGATTTTGCTTCTTATTTGTATTGAAAAGGATGATAAAGTGTGKGACAATTCTGAAGGCAGGTATTTCAGACAACTCAGAGATGTGAAAAAAACCCTAAGTAAGTAAAGTAAGTGAAACACTTACCAAAAGGCACAGGACTTTTGAGAAACCAAACAGTATTATTTTTTTTCCACATATGGCAAACACATTCCAGAGAAGCAACTCAAGCAGAAAGAATAAGCCAAACAAATAAATAAGAATAAAAAAATCCCCTTTTCAGCAATTCACATTACTCTTGCCCAGGGTAATCCAGAGAAATTTAGAGGACACAGCAGCATTTACATTGATGACTACATAAGCAATTCCATTAGTGGGGCCTAGCAAAATTCTGCAGTGCAAGAATTTCATTCTGCTCTTCAGTGCTAACAGGGTACAGAAAAAGTCATTAGTAGTGGTTATTTTTGTTGATTAAAACTAAAAGTTCTTAGATCACAAATTTGTTGCTTGATGYTTGTTTCAAAAAATGAACAGAAATGTCACTCAGGAGTAATTAAAGAAACATTTCTGTGATATACAGATTTGGTAATTTTCTAGATAGAACTCAAAAYACAACAATAATTACAGCATGCTAAGCTACTGAGAATCTCTCATTTAGTAGTTTGATTTGGTATTGAACAAATTGACTGTCCATAACTAAATATCTATCCCAGTTCTCTATTTGGGGCTGGATTTTCACCATTTTCCTGCTGACCTCTAGAAGTACACAATCTACTTTGGTATACAATCAGTTTTTGCTTTACACCTCAGCTAAATGTTTGTAAGCAAAAATGAGGCTTTTTTAGACCACCCTGGGAGAACTGCTACAGTGGCTGGAAAGGAGGCGAGCTCCTTTTTTTTTTTTTTGAAATCTGAGAAATTTCCAATCAAAATCAAGCCATAAACTTTCCTGATTAGCACTAGCTGCCATCCATCTTCCACCTTCATTTTTAGGAACAATCATCTCGATATTATGACATTCCACAACGTACTATTTCATTATCACACTAAAGCAATAATCACATTAGCAAGGTTCCTGTCTCCTTTCCTCACATCAAGAGCTACATGCAGATMCTCCTTTTTAATTGCTTCCAGAGAAACATCTGGTGCTGCCTGTGGAATTGGAACAGATCACAGTGCATCTCTGGGTGTACCTGACCACTTCATACAGCTTGAAATAAATGGGTTTGGGCAAGCTGAAAAACCCAAATTCAGTGCTGAAACTGTCTATATTCACAAAAAAACCAGTAATAGCTCTTCTGATTGCAGTGTGACAGTGAGGTTTCAAAAATACACTGGGATCAGCCACTTGCATTGGTAYTTGTGTGATAAATACTGGTAAGAATATGGTTGAAGACATCAGGCATGACTCAAATATTTAATCAAATGGTTCACATTTAATAAGATCAATGCCCATTAGATCTGGATAGATAAGACACACAGAAAAATCAAGGTAAAAAGGTAGTCTATTTAACAGAGGCCAGCCTAAGCACCATAAGGTAAATCAGAATCATGTTTGGTGGAAATTTTTGTTTGACAAAGCTGAATATTTTCAAGCCTAACCACTATAAGGTAAATCAGAATCATGTTTGGTGGAAACCTTTATTTGACAAAGCTGAATATTTTCAAGCCTAACCACCATAAGGTAAATCAGAATCATGTTTGGTGGAAACTTTTGTTTGACAAAGCTGAATATTTTCAAATCTAGCTACCTACAGATTTCATTGGTTATGGTCTGCATTGGTACTGTAGAAGCACCACATACAGAGCCATAATTTCCTGAGTCTGATACTTTTTCTTTTTTTTTTTTCTTTCTTTCTTCTTTCTTAAAGATTCAATCTCTGCATATTATATTGTGAAAGATACAATATATGTACTGTGGCTGACTGCAATGTAAGATCCTCACTGATAATCTTCTGGCTTCAAGGGAAGTCTGAGTGTTGGCTTTAGCAAGACCTGGAATACCACTAGTTTAGCTTTTAGACCAGTAGGAACATAAGAAAAGCAACACTGGACCAGATCARATATCCATCTCTGACAGCAACCAAYGAAAAAAAGAACACAAGTGCAGAAAAGCATGGACACTSTCCCATCTGTGGTTTCAGCACTTCCTGCAGAGGGGACTCCTCAGATATGCAACGGTCCCAAAGCAATTTTTCAGATTAATTTGTCAAGTCCTTTCCTGAATTCATAYAAATTTCAGCATGCACCATATCCTGTGTCAAGCAGTTCTGTAGCCTAATTGTGGATTTTGTGAAACACAGCATTGTTTTGCTTGTGTTGAATCTTCCAGGTGTTAACTTGTTTTGATACTTGTCAGCTCACATTCTTCAGTGGATAAAACAATTTCTCCATTTCACTTGCAGTTTTATAAGCCTTTACTTTATTCATCTCTAACCATAACCYRCAAAGCATTTTTCCATCATGCTTGACTCCTCTCTGTGTATCTAGTCACTGATCCTGTGTTGTAACTAATTGAATTGTTCAGTTGCCTGAAAACAAGAAAAAACCTCCTCCAGACTGGTTCTTACTGCATCATTGGCTTGCAACTCACCTTGAGATTATTCCAGTTAATAACTTCATCATTTCAAGGCTG